TAATCTATTTAATATCGGAGAAACCCCATGCCATCGAGAATTGATTATGGTCTGGATAAGTTAATTAATGTCTAATTAATAATTTAGATAACATTTAAGGCCTAAAGAAAGACTTGCGATAGGCAGATTTAGCTCTTGCATAATGTATGTTTAAAGGGCTAATCCCGATATTTTTTGCAGAATAAAACTGCTTAATTGTGTGTTAAAATCCCTTAAATTCCTCTAGCTAAGGGCCAAGCAACTAACTCAATATTTGTGATACGTTTTCAAACAACTTAAACCCGCCCGTCTTCATCTTGAAATGGAGACGGGTGTCCCAAGCTGTATTATGCGGTGTATGGATAAAACTAGACTTTTATTTTATAATAATAATGTGTAGGTGAAATTTACCTTTCGTTATCAAGTAGAGCACATTGGTCATTCACTATATAGACCTCTCAAGGAACGGGAATCGATTATCAGGTCACCCAAAGAAAAAACTGACACGAAATCTTAAAAGGGTTACGTGTCCGGATAAGCAGTTTTGACGTTCACGTCCAAACGACTCAATATTTTGAGCTGGAATTTTGAGGGAAGGTAAATACACCATTTTGGCGCTTAAATTTCATAAGTACTCCGACTTTTATTTTTGAGACTCTTTTGAAATCGGGATAGTCCCTTTAAATACATGTATATAGTCAAACCCTTGTTCAAGTGAAATGTCGGTAGAGTCCTACCATAGAAATTTTGTGTTTTTGTATTCTGTTGGTAATGTATCTTAATATCCATTAACTATTTTGTCATGCTTACTGACATCGCATCTCTCATTCGAAATCCTTGCACTGAACAGATCTGGCTTCCGCATGTTTTATTTAATATGTACGATTTCATTTCTGGGTTTAAGAAAAATAGTTCATGGCCGATTGTAACGTTGTTGACAACCGTGCAATTAGTTTGCCAAAAACTATTCTTAAAAATAAATGGCACGTAGAAAAAAGAAGCCAACTGAAAGTTGACATATAACGTAATTAAAGACACCCATTTTATTGTCGCCTACGTACATACACGCAGAAAGAATAGGAAGCCAACTGAAAAATAGCGCAATCAAAGGGCTAAATCTATTTGTTAAGGCCAGCTCAATTTTTGTCAAGGTCGTTGATATGTAAATAAGGTTAAGGCACGTGATTGTAGGTAAGGGTTAGAGTAAGCATTGGGACTAGGTCCAGGGTTAGGGTTAGGGTTGGGATTAGCGCTAGCGTTGTTTACATCTCATGACCTATGACGAAAAGATGAGCTGGCCTTATCATTTAGCACTAACTGTGTCTGCAGTCAGTTTCTGATTGAATAATAATTAAAATGATAACGTAGATACGCTATAACGGACTTATAAACAGTAACATGTCTTCCTAAATTATCTTTTGTCTAGAACCAGTGTAGAATGCTGAACTTGAATAACATAAAACTGAAAATTGTTCGGCAAGATAGGTTGTTAAAGTTATAAATTATTCATGGTTATACAATAGGCCGATGAAACCACTGTTGGAAATATAAATAGGACCTGGATTTAGCGCTAACCGTAATAAAGATATCCATTCTAATTTCGCCTACACACGGACACACAACCAAACAACTTGTGGATCGTTCTCTCTCAAGGCCATGGACATTAAAAAGAATCTTTACTCATAAAGTATTGTCCTATGTCATAATATGATTGATCCAAGGCGAATTATTAGACGTATTTATTTATAAATCCTCGGCATGGTTTTATTCATGCAGCTTATTCTGTTTACAAGTTATGCCCATACTTATTCTTTGATTCGCCTGATCGTGTTATTTCAATTTCTTTGATGTCTTTATGGTGTAATTGATATAATACTTATACAATTCACTGGGAATATGGTGTTTAGAGAGAGGAGAGGGAGAGGGGTCATTCCTGACTGAATGTAGGTGGAATCGTGTCGTTTGCAATTTGTGGATAGTGGACGTTAAACACGTACGAACAAGAATCACCGTAAGAAATAATCCGCCAAACATCGGATTTTAATATAGAGTGTGTGTTTTACTTGCTCCAGCATCATTTTAATACCTGTGGTTTATCCCTCATGGAAAAATGAAATGAAATGAAGTGGGGTTTTACGTCCTTCTGTTCTTCTCCGAACTGGACTATGCCATACAGGGTGCACTACGGCCTACTCTTATATCGAATTCCAAGTGATCTTTTACGTGCACGCCAATGCGTACACGGGACCTCGGTTTTTTTGTCCATCCGAACGACTAGACAGCTGTCCTTGTCAGGCCCCCCGTCCTGCATCAGTAACAAGGGAGAACCACGCCAGAAAATATGGATGAACTTTCTCGGCCCATGCAGGGATCGAACACCGGACCTCGCGGCTAGTGAGTCAGCGTCTTACCCACTTAGCCACCCCCTTATGGAAAAAATAACATAAAAAGTGTTAGGATTAAAAACAAATCACGCAACAAAAGAAACAAAACGACGCAATAGAAAACGCACTTTAAAGACAACCCCGGAAAACATTTTAAAAAAATCATAAGAAATAAAATAAAAAAAAGATGAAAGCAAAAAAAAAACAAATAAAAACCCGACGCAATGAAAAATCAAGACAACCCGGAAAACACATTTTAAAAAAATCATAAAAAATAAGATAAAAAATAAAATAAAAAAAACGATGAAAGCAAAAAAAACCAAATAAAAACCCGACGCAATGAAAAATCAAGACAACCCGGAAAACACATTTTAAAAAAATCATAAAAAATAAGATAAAATATACATGTATCTTCTTTTAAATAAGAAAAGCGAAAAAAAATCATTTCGTCTTTACAAAAAATCGACTGTGTTATTATCTCTGTAACAGATACATTACTTAAGAGCTAAATCTGCCTATCGCAAGTCTTTCCTTAAGATACATTATGGGAGATTCGATAACGAGTTGGCAGTTCTCACTATAATAGTTAAAAACTAGATAATGTAAAGGCAATTTGCTGAAAATTTCATTCAAATTGATCCACTATGAATGGAGAACTAAGCGGTTGAAATTTCCGGCTAGCCTTGATCATTATTACTAAAGTCAGTACGATAAACAGCATAGTCTCGATTATCCATTTAATCGTTAAATCGTGAAGGAAAGTTTTGCAGTAAATCGGCCCATAGTCCACTAAAGATCGCAGGCTAGCGATGCGATCTAGAGTTGATTATGGTCTGGATAGGTTAATTAATGTCTAATTAATAGTTTAGGTAACATTTCAGGCCTAAAGAAAGACCTGCAATAGGCAGATTTAGCTCTTGCATACATGTCAAGCTCCAAATCAACTCTGCAGACCCTCGGATTGTTTAGATACAGCTTCGATTTAAACAGTCTTCCATTTAATGATTAAATCAATAAATGGCTGGCTAACTTTTAACGTTAGTCACTGACGTCACTACCGGAGACTGGCGATGAGAGGTCTGCCAATCGAGGGTACCGTAGCCATTAAGAATGTTACTTGATAATCGAGAATATGTTGGTGGAGTTATCGCCTGTCAATAAAATGATCGACAATTCTCGTAGACGGTGCGGAGACAGTTCATGCCTATTTCTAGTCCAATCGTGCAACAGTGACAATTCCGTTCAGAATAAAGTAATTTGACTGAAATTTTCAATATTTTCTTTTTCTATCATTTATTTTTAAATTATTCCAAGAATAGCAACTCTTTATTAAACTCTTAGCTAATCTACCCTTAAGGAAGCCATAAGTAAAAAAATAATTCAATTAAATTAGAGAAAATGTGATTAGAGACCTGGAGTGAAATCTGTTGCTCTTTAATGCAACCTGGTATTTGATATATCTAGCCATTCTGTTGTATACAGTGGCGTCGGGAGACGGGTGTGGGTGTGTGTCACAGGACGCAGCCACGAATAGATCTAAAATTGATATCGGATGTTGTAGAATCAATTATCATTAGCAATCAGGGGCGGATCCAGGAATTTTTGCAGGAGGGGGTTTGCCAGGTTACCTGAGAAAATGTATCGCTCCCTCCCCCCTCGGCTTGAAATTTTTTGAGAAATACATGGTCTCTATCGTCATTTTGGCGTATATACATACACATTAAGCTTTTTAAACAGAGAAATCCATCATCCTCTTTGACGTCAATTTTTATTATCAATTAATACGATAACATTGTGATTCAAGTTTATTCATGCAAAGCATTAATTGTGATATCACATATGTCTATATCATTATCTCGACCTTTGAGTGCCAATCCTGTCGCACCATCTGACGATAAAGGATAAAGCACAATTATGACACTTTTCTCATAAAAAGGTTGTTTTACAAAAAAATTTATGTAGCTGAGCAGGTTGGGGTTTGCATCCCCCTCCCCCTCTGGATCCGCGCCTGCCATTCAGTAAAATCTTCTTTGATTAACTGGAGATTTATTTGGAGAGAGAGAGGGGGGGGCAGAGAGAGAGAGAGAGGGGGTGACGTCCGCTTGTCACATTCAAGGAGAGAGAGGCAGAGAGAGAGAGAGAGAGAGAGAGAGAGAGAGGTGACGTCTGCTCGAAAACACACGAAGGTTGGTGGGCAGGCAACCCTACTCCTTGTCACATTCAAGCCGAAAAATCACACACACATGCAATGTTAAAATGTTATTAAACCAGTGCTGAAATCAGTTTGAGTCAGCATACCTTTTATCTTTTCATCGTTTACCGTGAAACAAAGTTTCACGTTAGAAAGTACTTTGTTTCACGGTAAACGATGAAAAGATAAAAGGTAGGCCGACACAAACTGATTTCAACACTACTGGTTTAATAACATTGTAAAGTACTCTTCGTCCGTCTTGGGACTATTCATAAATAATGTCATTGTATAAAGATGGACAGAACAGTGTATTTATACATATTTACATAGTAACACTGTGGTTTTAATTGGCTATAGTTACCATTGTCTGTGTTAAACCGAATGGTTTATTATAATGTATTATCCTCCATCTCTATTATAATATTTTATCTTATTTCTATTTTCAGATATATTGGCATTATCCATCCAATTAAAGCTCATATACTATGTAATAGAAGACGTATTGCCGTGGTTATTGGATTAATTTGGCCCTTGTCCTGTCTGGCTGGGGCACCTACGCTCATTTTCAATCAGATCCTAGCGGGACACCCCGACCATACAGAACTGAAATATTGTATGCTACATTTCCCGGACAACCCCGATCTTTACTTCGTGGTGTTTAAGTACAGTGAATTTGCTTTGTTTTATATGAGTCCGTTAGTGATACAAGTGACTGTTTATTGCATCGTATCCAAGCAACTGTTCACAGGGTCTGAGAAACTCCATCGTCGATTAACCGTGCTTGATGAAAATGGGTTAGCGAAAGAGCGATCATCGGAGGCTGTACAGGCTAGAAAAGGCGTAGTGAAAATGCTGATTATGAGTGTTGTGGTATATTTTGTGAGTTACTCGCCTCATCAAGTTTTATTTATTTACCACTCTATTAACCCACAATATTTTCACGATAATTGGACGTTGCGGGTATTTGTTATGATCATCGCTTACACCAATTCCGCGGCTAACCCCATTTTATACAGTATCTTTAGTCAGAACTTTCGATCCAGTTTCCAGAAAGCTTTCTGTAGATTAAAAACGACCAAGAGACGACCAAACCCAAGACGTCAATCAACATTCAGTAATAGTTCGCGGTTTGGCCGAATGGCTAGCCTTGTTCATTCGGCAAACACCGATCTTTAGAAACGGAATAAAGTAAACAATTCCCCACTTCATCAATCATCAATATCAAGTGAATGGCCATTTTTGTTATTTTCTCTTTCGTGTGATTTAATTACCCGAGGTGTTAGATGAATAAAAACCGGATCCAGTTCATTATCGGACTTGAATAACGTTTTAATTTTATTTATGTTGGAAAAACCCAAACGTAAAATGAGCTTTGATCGAATTCCGTCATGGCAATTAAAGTTGCTGTTTTTGCACCACGATTCTAGAAGAAGCAGGAAGATGGCGACTAATTATGTATAAAATGTTATAATAGTTTCTGAAGCATACGCTAATTAGGCCTACTAGAATGTGTTTTTATTTACATAGTGCATAGAGAGAAATTGTAATGCCGTCAAAAATTTCTAGAATTTAAAAAAATGGGAAATTAATGACAGTCTATTTTGATTATGAGCAACAGAAAAAACAAACAAAGTCTTCGGAGTGATTTTATTTTCCAGAACACCGGAAACGCGTGTTTATGAAGTTCACAAAGCCGACATTTTGCTGTTGTATTTCTGTGAAATATGGATAAATAATTTTTAACACGTTTTACAAAGGAATAAATAAATAAAATGGGTTTAGCGTCCAATAAGCCATACAGTGTGCAATGAGGGACATTTTGCCCGGATAGCAATTGAATTTCGTCTGTAAAGGGTACTTTTACGTGCACGCCAACACGTATACGGAACCTAGTTTTATCGGGGGGTGGGGTAGGATGGCCGAATTCTTAGCGCGTGCGCGATGTATCATAAGGTCTGTCATTGAATCAACTGGTGTGGTTTCGATTCCCAGGTTGTACGTGACAAGGAGGAGGATCGCCTGTCTAACCTCGTGGGTTTTCTCCTGGTCCTTCGGTTTCCTCCCATCGCCAAACGCCCTACGCGCAAGCGAATCATTAAAATTAAATTGAACCATATGTTGGTCCCGAAATGACCTAGTTTGTGTCAAGTGGACGTTAAACCCCATTTCTCCCCCCCCCCTCTATCTCTCTCCTTGTTTTGCGTCCCAACCGAACGACTAGACGCGAACAGTTTATTTGAATCCCCAATCCCATTCCGTTTGATCAAGACGCCCTCTTATAATATGTCGCACACCTTAGTTTTACATAAAATCAAAATCGGACAGTTGATTATGGCTACCGTATTTGCTGTTATTTAAAATGCATTGAACCAATATTAGTTGAATTGGCTTAAAGGCTCAATACCATTCTTGTTATAACTGAATAATATGTCCCAATCTTTATTCTGGTCAACAAATTGTACTATTTTACAATATTCCAATTGATTGATGATACAAATTTCATCTTAACACACCTAATATAAAAAATTGAAAAAATTCAACTAAATGATTTGAAAAGCCTAACGGAAACCTTTTCATATGTGACTTGGATTTAAAAATATTTTTGAACCCTCTGGACAAGTAAAATAGAATTTAATGGATTAATAAACACCAGGTAGGACACTTAAACATCTAGTACTCAGAATAAGGCTATTATTTATTTTCTGGAGCTGTCAAGCCAGCAAGTGTGTTATTGTCCCTTTAACGATATTGAATATGTTGTATATTAGTTATATATTGTGTTTATCTACTGTGTCAGGCGTCCAAAGATCTGTTGACCTGATTAAAATAATGATTTACGTCACTTCCTTCTTGTTTTTAATGACGATTCAATTATGTTAATTAGCTAAAAATTTCACTTCCAGTTTAATGTTCGTTGGTATGAGGTGGGGTCCGATCGATATATATGAAATAAAATGAAATTGGGTTTAACGTCCTACTTTTCTGCTTCGAACTGGGCTAATGAAGACGGGCATACGCCATACAGTGTGCTATGAGGGAAATTGTCCCCGAACAGCGGCACTACAGCCTACTCTTATATCGAATTCCAACTGTCAAGGGATCTTTTACGTGCACGCCAATGTGTACACGGGTCCTCGATTTTCCATACCATTCGAACGACTAGACAGCTGTCATTGTCAGACCCTCCGTCCTGCATCACTGACAAGGGGGGACCACGCCGGAAAATCTGGATGACCAATGCAGGGATCGATATATTTAATCCGTGTTCTCTATAGGGTCTTCAGCTATTTCTATTTTTAGCCCGTCCATAGATACATGTAAAATGATATGCGTCACAATAATTTGATTAACAAAACAAAATAAATGCAGGTGCAAAAAAAGTAGAATCATTTTTAAATAAAAATAACATTTTTGAGAATTTATAATTCTAAACTCTCCTTATTCTACTTATTCTAACAACGTAGTTATAACCATCTTCTAGGGCAGACTGGTGCCGCCGGGGCGCACACTTTGGGAACCACTGGCCTAGACAGCAGCGCTACGACCTACTCTTATTGAGATTTCCAAGTTAGACGCTTTTGAATGCCAGACCTTCCGTTCTGCACCATTGACAAAGTGGGGTAGGGGGCTAAAAACTTGCTCGGCCAACATCGAGATCGAACCCCGGACTGCTGTGTTACTGATCGAACCACTGCGGTCATGAAGAAATAATAAAAAGATTTCCCTCAATAATATCTATAAGCCCATCAATCAGATTACTAAATCTATTTTTGTTATACAAAAATTCCATATCCTGCTATCTATAATATTTAAGATTACTGATAAGAATTTGAGCTGATTGTGGTATTTGTATTTTTTTTATCTTGAGTTTCATAACATCATACATTGTATTGACATAAAATCGCTGGTTATTGGCTTTCATTTGTGATCAAAAATCTAGATTTGGGGCATTAGATTAAACACAGATCCTATTTCGTTTCGGTTTTTATAGTTCCAAATTTGTTTTACATGTACTTCTCCGTCTGCATTTTGAAAACAAGACTAAAAACACGCCAAATTGTTTTATTTTCCAAGCGCATTTGAAACTCCTAATACGAGTATTTATGGCGCTATCTAAAATTGGATGTTAAAACCCGCGGTCTGGTTGATGTGAGGGATTAGCCAATGAAACGGTTTGTTGCAGTGGGTCTTGGCGTGCTGTGCACGGAACTGTAAGTAAGGGTCAAATATTGCTTGTATGACCCGACGCGACCTCCCACTACAACCGATCAGATCTTCACTCTAGTGGAGGCCATCAAAAATATGAAATAAGGACACGAAATATAGTTCAGTATTTTAATCTGATTGGATCTGGATTAACTCCATTCAAAAATACTCGGACCCGCCCGCTGATGTAATTAAAAGATATTAATACATAGTGTTGTTGAGTGTGCGATTGAGATCATGAGGTCTTTCATTGATTGAAGTGGTGTGGTGTGACAAGGGGTAGGGTCAAATGTACAACCTCGGTGGTTCTCTCACCGATCTCTGCCCCCCCCCCCCACCTCACACACACACACAACTTGAGACGACCTTTACACGCAAGCGGATTATGGGAATATAATAGAACCATATGTTAGTCCGGGAATCACCTATTTTGTGTCGAGTGGACGTTAAACCCCATTTCTCTATCTCTTTCACCGAACACATTTTGGCTCAGTAACACTTAAAAGCATAGCTAAACTTGAAATATCCGTAGATTCAAGATGTCGATATTCACAACTCAATTCTGATTGCTTGAAACAAGTCAAGTTCTCCTTTAAAAGCCCACAAGAAGACCATCTAATCCATATTATTTTATTTAGTTTTTATTAAGAATTGTATATCATATGAAAAAATCTAAGAGAATACACAAGTTAATATGATACAAATTGCAAAAATATCGAATTGATATCTGAAAAATAAGCTATTCTAAATTCTTTGTGTAGGAATTAATATATTTGGATGTGATAAAATCTTAAGGCCACTGATCGCCAGATTGGTAATACCGTGTAAACTACACGATTGTCAATATGATTAAAACACAGATACTATTTCGTTTCGTTTTTTTTATAGTTCAATATGTCGTTTTATTTGTCTGTACTACACTGGTATCTGGAAAATTTGTTATATAACACGCGTTCTGGATGGCGTGAGAGGGACTTCTTGGTGTACCAGGCATGGAACTGTGGTTAAACCACTAGAATCGTCAACGCTGATTGATTAATCATAGGGTCAGATCTTCATATAGTAGAGGCCATCGAAAGTATAAAAAAACGAAACGAAATATATATCTGTATTTTAATCAGACTGCAAGATTGTTAGAGTTGTATCTCTAAAAGGAATGTCGGTCCAAACAACTGTTCAATTCCTTTCAATAACTACCAACAGATATACAGAATTGACTATTTCACAATAAACAAGCCCGCGCCACCTATAGGTAATGGGCCTCTTTTTTTAAAAAAAAAGATTGAATTCAAACTAGAAACGTATGTAACTTTGATATATTTTTGTTTCGTTTTCGTAATTAAAGACACATTATGGGAGATTAGACAAAGAGCTGGCAGTTCTCGCTACAATAGTTAAACATTGGATAATGTAAGGGGAATTTGCTGAACATTTCATTTAAATTGATCCACTCTGAACCGAGATTTTAGCGATTGAATTTTCGGCCTAGCCTCGATCGTCATTCCTAATAAAGTCGCTACGAACAAAATATAGTCTCGATTATTCAGTTTATTATTTAATCATCAATGAGCGTTAAGCAACAGATCGGATTCAAGTCCAGTAAAAATCGCAGGCAAGCGTTGATTATGGTTTGGATAAGTTAATTAATGTCTAATTAATAATTTAGATAAGATTTCAGGCCTAAAGAAAGATCAGCAATAGGCAGATTTAGCTCTTGCATAATGTATGTTTAAATGTTAAAAACACAATTTGAGTACACTTTTGAATGATTCAAATCCAGAAATATTAGATACTATCATGTAAAATACAAACTAATTAAAGTAGCTAAGTCTCTAACTCAATATCATCCAATGTCTCACACGTTGAAAACACGATTTATTTGTCAATTTAAATCAACATTGATGTTGTGATCTTACCGGGAAAAGATGGGTTTCTGATATCCAATACTTAAGACAAAAGATATTCTACCACTGGTACACGAATCGTGTGTCATAATGTATTTCAGCGTCATTTGTAACAAGGGACTCGAAGAACGAGGTTAGACATAATCCACATCGTAACGATATATTCCTATTTGGCGAGCATGAGCAGTAAATACTATCGATGTAGACTGGAATGACCAGACGCTAGAGATTGCCATTCGACTGATAAGAAATTAGAGTAAAAACAGAAACGATTGAATGTAAATCAGTTTATATACATTCATACTACATTATTATATGCGTTGTGACCCATCTGTGACAATTTCTAGGACCTGGGACCTGTTTCACGAAATTTTAACTAAAATACTAATTTTAGTAATTTGATTGGATAATATTAGATTGATTTTAGTGCTTATCCAATCAAAATTGAAGTATCTACTAAAATTTGAATTTTATCTTTAGTTAAGACTTCGAGAAACAGGGGCTAGAATATTAGCGATTTTGTCCCTTTAAATATTAAACAATCAATCTGAGGACATTTTGGCGTGGATTAAACCTTGGAAATTGAGATATTGTCGAATCGATACACATGACGACCAGCGGCTTATAGCACTAATGTCTTCTAATAAGCCTTAGAATAATATTAATAATAATAAAAATATTTAATAATTATATAACGACACTTTTAAAACACGTACGATAGTACAAAATGGACCGGAAACCGAGCATGACGTCATCGACGCCATCTTGAAATGGCGACGTCTTACGAAGTGCGTCACCCCCCAAGCAGAACACGAAAAAGATGATGGGTAGTACTTGAGGGGGGAGGGGCAGTTCCCGGTCCCTGGTCCAAAAATGGATTATGGGATTTGATATAAAAAATGATACATGTACAAAATATAAGGCAGTGCCATTTTTGAGATTTGAACAATCAGGTCAAAATGAGTATGTTTATAAACTAAGTAGCTAAAAAATGAAATATACACTCTATCATATGTGGATATCATGTATGTACTATATAATATATTATACGTACTAAAGGCACATTCACACATCTCCAACTAAATTAAGATACATATTTTTCATTATTATTCATAGCACTTTTATGCATATTATTTTCTATTATAATTCATAACGCATAATAATGAACTATAATAACTAAAAGGGTTAAAACATGAACTCGGGGGGGGGGGGGGTGGGGGTGAGATTGGGGGGGCGGGGGGCTTACTTCACGTGAATTTTCAAATGTATTAAGTAAGATTCTATGTGGGTGGGTTTCTCGTCCACGTCAATGTCGCTGACGACCGGGCTGCATAGAATGTCTAGTAGAAAGGTTTCCGATTTGTGGAGTCGTCTAGTGAAATGTAATGAACTAATACCTTTGTTCTTATGCAGAGCGAAATGGCCGGCTTGATTGCCGCGGATTATCTTATAGATAACATTATTATGCAAGGCAGTGAGAGAGGGTAATACTTTAAGAACCCGAGCTTTAGGACGAGTTTGTTTTCGGGTTAAATACAATACTAGCGGTCCCTGTGGTAATTGCTTCTTTGGAGATAAAACAGCATTGGTTCCGTTCTTGGACATCTCTCGATGTTTCTGTAAGAGAAATAAAATAAATAATTGTATTCGTCAGCCATGAAATGAAAATGAAATGAAATGGGGTTCAACGTCATACTGTTCTGCTCCGAACTGGGATAATGAAGACGGGCATATGCCATACAGGGGAACTTTACCTAGACAACGGCGCTACGGCCTAATCTTATATTGAAATCCAACTGCCAAGGGATCTTTAACGTGCACGCTAATGTGTACGAGGGACCTCGGTTTTTCGTCCCATCCTGCACCACTGACAAGGGGAAAACCCGACCTCCAGGCCAGCGAGCCAGCGTCTTACCCACTTAGCCACCACGGCGCCACTGGGATAATAAGGGGAATTTTACCTGAACAGCGGCGCTACGGCATACTCTTATATCGAATAGAGAAAGAGAGAGGGAGAGAGAGAGAGAGAGAGAGAGAGATATGGTTCAATTCTATTTCAATAATTCGTGTAGGGGTCTTTAGCAATTGGAGGAAACCGATGTGGTTGGACAGATAGGCTAGTCCTGGTAAAATTCCTGCCGTTTCAACAAAAACAACACAACAATGTTTGAAATCTGCATCGTCATCCAGACTACAACAAGAGTTTATCACCATCAGCCATCCGAACCACTTAATCACGGATGAGTTCGATAACAATTATCTAATCAGGTACAGTTCCCTAATTGACCAATCAACTTGATTATGTAGTTGAAGAATGGCTCATTAAGGACGCAGGCCACTATCAGATGGTTTCAGGCTGTATTTACAGGCATTACATTGTATATAATTATACAGTTATAATTAACATGAGAAAATATAATTGAAGAGATCTATTTGACCACAGGGGTATAGAGTTCAGTCTACATGGGTATTATATTAAGATAATTAATCGGTATTCTACGTACTGACCAGTGGTCAAGTTCTTGGGTATTATATATAGAGAGAGATCATTAATTGGTATTATATATACTGACCACTGGCCAAGTTGTTGCGAACTAACAAAAATGTAATTATGGTTATATTATGACTGACCACGGGCGTCTGGCCTCTCCTCCAATCATACTAAACTTAGGCTGTCTGTCTACAGTTAACTCCGCTTGAGGACAGACACTAAGGTAGTTGACCGACATTTTAAGCCCTAAATCGACCGTTTTAGTCGAGAATACTACGTATACTTTGAGAATGTAATATGTATTTATTCTGCTTCCATGACAGTTCTCACTATAATAGTTAAAAACTAGATAATGTAAAGGCAGTTTGCTGAAAATTTCATTCAAATTGATCCACTATGAACCGAGAACTAAGCGATTGAAATTTTCACCTAGCCTCGATCATCATTACTAAAGTCAGTACGATAAACAGCATAGTCTCGATTATCCATTTAAGCGTTAAATCGTAAAGGAAAGTTATGCAGTAAATCGGTCGATAATCCACTAAAGATCGCAGGCGTTGAGCAGAAAATCGGATTCAAATTCAGTAAATATTTCAGGCTATCGATGGCACCGAGAGTAGATTATGGCCTGGATAAGTTAATTTATGTCTAATTAATAATTTAGATAACATTTCAGGCCTAAAGAAAGACCTACAATAGACTGATTTAGCTCTTGCATAATGTATGTTTAATAAAATTGAAAAAAGTTTATTTAGTCTTTCTGTGTATGTAAGATGTGAAACGGGGTAGAACTGCATTACATGACAGTATACTAATTTCTGGATATGGCGGCTATTTAGTGCAGAGATCTATTCTTGAAGAATGAGGTAGACTGATCTCTGTAGGAATGCTTCTTCAATATATTGTAATATTGTACTAAGTGTTGTCTACACGACAAAACGATTGTTTACAAACATCACCAAACATGAAGAGAGGGCAAAATAGGGTTTAACGTCCACTCGACACAAACTAGGTCATTTCTGCTCATATTCTAGTCTAAATTTCTATGTGCAGAAGTACTTAAATGACGTCACGGATTGCTTATTGAAGGAAAGTTCCGACTACCCATGCACGGAGAACGGCGGAAATTACCACGCTATTTGACTCAATGACAGACTTTATCATACAACGTGCACGCGCGAACAATTCGGCCATGACAGGCCGTATGATACAGCGCGCACATGCTAACCATTCGGCCATCCAACCTGCCATCAAACAGAACGAAAAACATCTTATGAAAAGGTCTCATTGGTGCTCTACGTTTCAATTTTAAGGAAAAGTTTTATAATAAATGCCAACCATCTACTAGAGGTGGGAACACTCTTAAGGAATTCATCATGCAATCAATCTGGTTAAATCACAGATCATATTTCGTTTCGTTTTTTATAATTCAAAATTTCGTTTTACTTGTCTCTACTACACTAGGATCTGGAATAGTTGTTATCATTGACGTGTTCTAGATGGTGTTACGGATTAGCCAATGAAACGGTCTGTTACGATGGGCTTTAGGTGTGTTTTGCACCGAACTGTGGGTAATCCATTAGAAACATCAATGCTGGTTGGTTAATCAAATATCTGACGTCATAGGGTACAAAAGTCACTCGTATGTCCTCTGACGCGACGCATCTCTACAACTTGTCAGATCTTCATGGAATGTAGTCCATCGAAAGTATAAAAAAACGAAACGAAATATAGATCTGTATTTTAATCAAATTGTCATTCAATTTTCGTGGACAATAAATAGTAAAGTCTTACCCTAAGATGGTGTCGTTTTTGGACGTCTCTTTTCACTCGATTTGAACTTTGTTGGTATTTCTCAGCTCGCTGTGCAACGTAGTGCTCGCTAATCAGGGTGTTCAATTCCTCATCGTCGTCGATGCTGCGCTTGGCTCTCTTGGATAGAGGTATATCGCCGAAGTCTTTATCACAGTGATAGCATGCCTGACCACCGGGTAGTTTTCCCTCATCCGGTGCCGGTACGTGGGGAAGCTGTACCCCCTCTGGGTAGTGGGGGATACCCCCGCCTACAGGGGGAGTGATCGTTGAAATACAATGTCTGAAAAAGAAAAACAATAGGTTGCCAGGCATGGAAACATACTCCCACAGCAGTTACGTCGTCCATGAGTCAACAAGTTTTGTCGCGTATTTATTCTTTTGTCGGTAATGAAAACATTTACAACATACTACATGTAAAATCTGATTAAATGTAACAACCCATTAAGTAATTAGCAGAAATCATTAGAATGTTTTTGTTTTTGGCTTCCAGTTCTGGCACATGCAAACTTTTAGAATTTAGCTGTTCAAGTTATCGAAAATCGTTAAAAAGCAATAGATTTTGACGTCTCATGAACGTAAACACTGTGTATAAATATAAAGTCAATCGGATGATCATATTGGTCTTGAGAGCATTTACAACATTTTCAAAGTCATCATGGGCCATAACTCTAGCAACAATTATCAGAAATTAGGTATATCTAACAATATTGTGTACAGATATGTTATATATCATACTATGGGTCTATTATTCTTATAACACTGTGTCACGCTGGCCTGTAGTGAATAGTTGCTAGGCCGTTAATATCACTGTGGGGGGATGACATCGGTGCGGTTTAAATAGCTCACAATATTAACCTTTTTCCTCCGACAAATTAAATTCTAAAACATTTGTTTTTTATGTATTAGAAAAATAAATAAAGCCGTTTGAAGTATTTGTAGGTAACAAAAAATATTTCCTATTTAGTGTAAATGGGTATTAATATGAGTAAACGGCACCATTCTGTCCGAACCAGTAACATCTTATATAACCAACGCACGCGCCATTGAGCAAATGATTGACGCAGCGTGATGTGACGTCACGTGTTGAAGACAGTCATCATTTACAGAGATATTAGAAGACTTTAGTAATCCTCTGTGAAACAGATTGACACGGAGTATAAAATACATGATAACCACAACCAATTTAAGACGTTAGTCAGCCGGACCACCGGACGGGCAATCGAACAGGGGTTACGACAATATACGACCACATTTATATATGAATGTTCAAAAACTAAAAGTGAACTTGATCTGACACGATGACAATACAAAAAAAATATATAATCAAAGGAATTTTCTCCGAAAAAAAACCCAAAAAACAGCAGCAGCTTGCATCCGTACAAGTCTTATAATTCTTCAGAAAATCAAATAACGTAAAAAAAAACCCAACAAAACCTCAATGGCGTGAGAACTTTTTAAGAAAATATCAACGACATTCAGTTTTTTGAGTTCAATACAAAAAACCCGGGATTTCTATAGATGCATTTAATTAACATCCATAGATCAGAGAGAAATCTTTTAAACTCAGTTCCATATATTTCTGCGAAAGGATGTCTACAGAATCAAAATGAGCAGCAGCCTGTTAAAATGGATAAAGGCACTTATATTGTACAGAATAATTAGTCTAAAGAAAAAATCTTTTAACATAGTTTCATGTTTTACCGGACGGGTGTTGAAAGTGGTAAGGGTTTAAATTACGCGCTTATTCATTACTTTTCTGCACCAACTGGGATC